TCAGTCCAGGGTGCTGTACGTAAACACTCTCCCTGTAATAGGTTTCTCCTTAAAGGGAGCTATCATCACCTCTGACTTTTTTTTAATCCTTCTTTACCAGGGAAGAGGGAACAGCAGAAGGTGGAAGAGATGGAAAAGAAAAAGAGATAGCGTCTGGACCAGGCAATTCAGATAAAAGAGGTTACCTGGGAGGACCAGAGAGAGAGACAGTGTCAGTGCTAGCAACTGTTTTTACTTCTGATATAGTTTCAAGCAATTTCTTGTTGGTTTCCTGCAAAAAAGAATTACTTTTTCATTTCTTCTTTTAGAAGCTTCTAAACACCAATCAAGTAAGCATTCCATTCAGTCTGCTTGATCTTACGGCCAGCTTTTTCTTAATCTGCATACAAAAATACCAATTTTGGAATATCAGAAGACCCCCAATTTGGCCATTTTGATCGAGATCTCCTTTAGATAATTTCCCCAATTAAGTAAGTACTTGTAAGTATGAGCTCTGTACATGAATCTGGCTGGGGTGTTAGTCGGACACTGGTTTTCTGACACCCCTGTTTCTCTGTTTGAAAGACTCTGTTTCTCATTTTAAAGCTGCATTTATCAGGGATAAGATTTCACTTTTATCCCTGAAGATTTCTACTGAGGTAGCCAAATTAAGGAAAAGCATCAGCTCAGCCTCTTACCTAACCACTCAGTCCAGACACTGGTTTCTTTCAGCCAGGCCTCACCCAGCACATCTCCACTGAATGGGTATTTCCTCCCAGTATCTCTCAACTGGAGAACCAGGTACATGGATACACTGCCGAATAAAACTCAGGATCATCAACCAATATGGGAGATCTGAGAACCAGGAGAGACTCACCCAAATTCATCTAGACTCCCCAAGGAGGTGGACGGGTGCAAGGGGCCTCTGCTAGTACCAAGGCTCCGGTTCCGCGTAGAGTTCAGGTGAAGGAGAGAAGTCCGCTCTGGGTCCCTTTGTGGGGTCGCCAAAACTGTCGACTAAAATAACATCACGCAATGTGAGAGTTGTGGGTTAAGTTTTATTTGGGGCAAAGTGAGGACTATAGCCTGAGAGCCAGCATCCCAGAAAGCTCTGAGACAATTCCCAAGAGGCGGGAGAAAACTCAGTAGTGTATATGACTTCAGTGGAGGGGGGACGTGCAGTCAGGCACACGTTTAGGTGGAGGCTGCTGCTGGTCATGGAGAGCAGATGTCACCGTTAATGATTTTAGTGCTTTTCTAGATATGAGGAGACGCAAGAATTGGGGCTTATAAAATCTTCTCCTGAAAATACCTCACTGTCAGAAGGCCTATTCTACCAGTTTCTCCAGAGCACCTCTTTTTTTGGGGTGGGGGGAGTGAGGAGCAGTAATTCGATTTATTTGTTCTTAGAGGAGGTACTGGGGATTGAACCCAGGACCTCATGCATGCTAAGCATGCGCTCTACCACTTAAGCGATACCCTCCCTGCAAGAATGCCTCATTTTTGATCTCCACCTTGAACTCCTTTTAGGGTGTGTTGGAGGCCAGCAGCTGCAGCAGCTCATGATGTAATCCAAGCAGAGGTAAATGGCAAGTGCCAATGTGATCCGATCCTTGTATAGGCAGATGACAAGTGCCGATTTTTAGTTGGTACAACAAATGGTGCTGGGAGGACAACTAGACAGCCACATACCAAAGAATGAGGTGGACCCCTTCCTTACACCATATACAAATTTAACTCAAAATGAATCATAGATGTACATAATAGAGATAAAACTATGAAAGTCTTAGAGGAAAACATAGGAGTAAGTCTTTGTCTTTGGGTTTGGCAAAATCCTCCTAAATACACCAGTAGCATAAATGACAAAAGAAAAACATAGACTACGTTGACTTTTTCAAAATTACAAATTTTGTGCTTCAAAGGACACCATCAAGAAAGTAAAAAGACAGGGGAGAGGGTCTAGCTCAGTGGTAGAGTGTGTGCCACATGCATGAGGTCCTGGGTTCAATCCCCAGTACCTCCATAAATAAATAAATAAACCTATTTACCCCCCCGCTATGGAAAAAAAGCCACCAAAAAAAAAAGTAAATAAACAAAAAGACAATCTACAGAATGGGAGAAAATATTTGCAAGTCATGTATCTTGTGACCGGTATTGAGAATATATAAAGAACTCACACTCCATAATATAAAGGTAATAAACCAATTTTTAAATGGGACAAGAATTTGAGTAGAAAAGAAGTACACTAATGGCCAATAAACACATGAAAAGAGGCTCGATATCCTCAGCTGTCAGGGAAATGCAAATCAAAACCACCGAACTTGCCCTGTACACCCACAAAAAGACAGAAGGTAAAAAGCCTTAGGGAGGATGTGGAGAAATTGGAACCCTCCTGTATGGCTGGGATAGAGCTGATGGAGACGGGGAGTATTTTGTTTCCAGGGTGGCAAATTAAGCTCAGAAAATGAGACTGCCTTTGCCGATAGTTTATTTAACACGGGTTCACCGTGGAAATTTCACTAGCTAATAGCGTGCAAGTTAATATCTCTTCATAAGCCAATAAAGAAATAACATTCTCCAAACACATGGTTGATGAAACATACTATTGTTCCACGCAAGGGGGGATGACAGAAATAAAGTCCAAAGTATGTCGAGGTGTACGTTTTATATGATGGTTCCTTCAGAGTCCAGGAATTGCCGGCTTAACCAACCGGGGGCTGACTCAACGGCCGGTGCAAAATGACAGCCCCTTGTGGCAAGAGCGTCAAGGCTCAAGTGTTTGCGGCAGGTAGGTTGCACAAGTAAATCTGTAAGTTAGTCGGCGACCGAGTGCCTCCCCAGGGCAGGACCTCATGTCCCGTCTTTTCCTGAGGCTGCTGCATCCTGTAACACCACTGCCCACCAAGAGAAGCAAGAGTCTGAAGAACTTCGGAAAGCTAGATCAGCAAAGGGAAGCTTCTGCCCAGTCTGAAACGCTAGGATACTCCTCACAAACCCTCAGTATTTGTAACCTAAATGTTCCTTCGCCATATTTGCTTCACCACACGTTCTTCTGACAATCCCAACAGGCATCTTCAGCAGCTGAGCTGCTAAGTGCTTATGAACCACAAAGAGATGAGATGATGACATTCTGACACATCTTGCATCATTCTTGTATCAAAACAACCCAAAACTAAATATTTGTCTTTGTCATGAACAAGTGGATTAGAACAACTTCATTTAGGTCATAAACAGATAGATTTGAAATCAGATCAAATCAATACACAACAGAGTCAGTGTGGGTGGCAGTGTGAAGTGAGTGGGTGCACGTGTGCTGGGGCAAAGCCTGTGCATCTGTGACCCTGGAGATTCAAGGGTGAATGTGGGGACCACTATAGATGAGGAGCAGGGAGGGAATGTTGCCAGAGAGTGGAGGTGGCAACCTGCTCCCTCTGACTTGTCCTGGCCTTGGTCGCAGATAACCTAGAACAGAGTCACGGTGAGATTAATGAAATCAAAAGTGGGGAGGGAGAGTCAGAAAAATAAATTAGATTCATGGTGTCATGTACTTTATTTTTTCTATTTATTTAACTGAATTTACAAGGAATCCCATCCAAGAATGACTGTCGTGTGGCAGCAGCCAGGTAGGTAGGGAAAAGTGCGTCAGGAAGTATTTAGGAAACACGGGAGAGGGTGATAGAAAAGTGAGGGACAGGGCCACAGGTCCCGACACAGGTCGCTAGTGCTTCCCTTTGCTGATCTCTCTCCAGTCCAGGTCCCCAAAGCCCCGCCCAGGCTGACAGGAGCAAGGAACCTCGTGACCGTCCGGGCGTCCCCGATGCGCCCGTGCGGCGAACCTCGCACTCGGTTTCTGCTCCAAGCCCTCGAGAGCCTCCCAAGGCTGTGTGTTCCGGCCCCGCGAGCCTCACCGGAGGAGCGCGGTTTCCCAAGCGCCGCGGTCTCCGCCCGCGCCCCTCTTCGCAGCCGCGTTAGGTCGGGATCCCAGCCAAGCCGCTCAAGACGCAGCGGGCCCAACTCTGGCTGAGCCAGGGCCGTGGGACGTCTGGGGGTGATGCGAGAGAAGAGGGATCCAGATTGAAAACCCAGAAAAGGAGTTTCCGGAACTTCTCTCGGGGACGTCTGCAAATGCCGACGATCTCCTAAGCCGTGAGAGCAACTTTGGGTGCACCGGGAGAGGCGAGGACCGCCCTCGTGGCCCGGCTGCTGCCTGCGGGCCCAGGGCCTCCCTTGTCAACGACCGCGCCCTACACACAGGAGGCGTTGGACCCCGGCTGCGGGTGAGAAAGGGAGGAGTGGACGGCGAGTAGGACCTCTGGGCTGGTCCCCCAAGGGTTCCGTCTTCTCCCGCCGTCCCGAAGCCACCAACTCCGAGCCCCGCGGACTTTTACCCCCCTGCTCGACTGACTGCCTGGGCGAGGGTGTTGGGAGTTTGGGGGTGGGGTGGGGGGAAGAGCTGCGGAAGTGGGGATGGGGGGCGCTGCCGGGCAGGAGAGGGTCGGGGCTGCCAGTCAGCGAGGAAGAAGGGGAAGTCCTACACGGTTGCTTTGAGCTTGCGCCTCCCGTGCCTTTCGAGGATTTTGCTACTTGCCGGTGAACAGAGGCTAATAACGCCTTGGCTTTTCTTG